TGCCCCTGAGGTTAGGGTGCTTAGATCTTCAAAACCATCCTGGGGGTGCCAAGAGGAAACACTGGCATTCTGCCTCACTCTCACCCAGGAGACCTCTCAGCCCTGGCCTTGCTGTTCATGAGCTGCATCCTGGCCACGCTTACTGGCCAGCGTTGTTCCCTGGCAGCAGTCCGGAGCCTGCAGGGCCCATATGGTGACCCTGGTTTAATAGCAGCTCCTGCCAGGCCATGGACGGACCATCCTACCTTTGTTTGTTAGAGCAACAAGCTCCTGAACCTAAGGCCAGCCATCATAGCCTGGAAGGAGCAATGGGCAGAGTACTACCATTGCCAGGCCCTTTGGGGGGACCTCTGGTGATCTCCACTTCCATGGATTTGCCTTGAATAATTGCCAGTGTTCCCTTAGTGACATTCTGAGGGTCTGGGTATCACTTTTGGGGGTCATTTATAGCCCTCTTGCAGATTACCCCCATTCTGATAGCTACTCAACTCTGCCCCTTCTCATGACATAAGCCAGGTTCCTACCTTGAGTCTCAGCTCTAATGTTGCTTCCCCAGATGTCCCTGACCACCCAGCTTAGGTGAAAACCCTTGGGTTTGCTTGTTTGGTTTTTGACTGGGGATTGAACCCAAGGGTATTTTACCACTAAATATTCCCAGCCCTTTTTATTTTTATTTTGAGACAGAGTCTTGCTAAGTTGCTGAGGATCTTGTTAAGTTGCTGGGATTGGTCTTGAACTTATATTCTTCTAGACTCAGCTTTCAAAGTTGCTGGAATTACCGACATGCACTACCATGCCCAGCTAAAACTCTTGGTTTTAAATTAATTTCTCATAAGAACCACAGGGCAGAATCTTGTCTCCCCAGACTCTGTTAGGTCCCAAAGGTCTGGTCCAGGGCAATTATCCAGTAAATAATTGCCAAGTGAATGAATGAATAAACATACTACCAATAATGTGACAAGCCCAGAGCATTCCCCCCAACTTTACAGCCCACAATCCCAGCCACCTTCTGGTCTTTACCCCTGCTGAAACCCATATAACAATTTGCCCCATTGCCCAGCTTACTGCTCATAGAACCTCCTTGCCTCCAAATTCTGATTCTTAGGACCCTCCATATGGAACTTCTCCCTCCCCAAATCCTGTGTGGCCTTCATGGAGTATCTCAAAATATGTATTTTCCAGAGTATTTTCTGGGTCTTCCAATCAGAAGAATTGTCTCTTGGTCTCTAACCCCAGTGGACAAATCTTGTGGGGAGGGGGAAATAAGGATTGCATTATCATTAATGGAATTTTTAAAAAAATTTTTTTAGTTTATTCAATGGACCATTATTTTATTTATTTATATGTGGTACTGAGAATTGAACCCAGTGCCTCATACATGCTAGGCAAGTGCTCTACCACTGAGCCACAACCCCAGCCCCACATTAATGGAAAATTGACTTCTGATTAGATTTTCTATTCTAAATACTGACTGCCTTCCCCCAATGGAGGGCCTTCTGGGCCAGCCCCAGCCTGCCCCAGCTCTCACCATGGCCACAGTCAAGCCAATCACCGTGATGATCCCAAAGGACAGAAGCATGGTACCCACGCCAGCCGTGCCATCAGCCACATCAGGGATTCTGGTGTCATTGAAGCTTGTGGCTTCTGGGCTGAGGGTGGTGGTCTCAGAAGTGGGCCCATCAGTGGCCGGCTCTAGGTCAGGTTCAGTGGTAGGTGGGTGGCTATTGAGCCAGCCCCGAGCAGACAGGATCCTGGAGTTCATGCTGATGTTGAGAGACTGCCTGTGGTCAGTCAACCTGCCCATTCACTTCTGACATCAGTAGTACCCCAGCCTATGGCTCCCAACACCCGTGGTGGCCACCTGAATAGCCACCTCCTTGATAAAGGAAGCCCCCTTCTTCCGTGGGTGCTGGAAAGGAAGAATAAACACATGAGGCTAAGGACAGGGGTGTGGCAGTGAGATGAAGTGCCTCTAGGTTCTGAAGACACTGGGAAAATAAAGATTTGAGGGCAGTTCAGGGACACAAAGACACATGCTTTATATACCTATGGTTCCCATGTAGATTTAGAAACATGAAAATGAAGTCTGTGGGTACAATGATCATAGCAATCATGCCTGGGAGATAGGAAAGATATCAGGGAGATTTGAAAGAAAAGCTCCCTCCCCTATGCAATAACATCCATAGCCCCTCATTCCTCCCACCCCCACCTCTTCACTCCCTGCCCCTCATATCTCTCTGTAGCTTTTTTTCTTCCCTGGAGGAAAAAACTTACCTAGGAGTCATATAGGCCTGTCCTTGAATCCTGTCTAGGCTCAGCCATTTATTGGATAATCCCAGACAAGTCACTCTACCTCTGTGCCTCAGTTTTCCTAAGCCTAATATCCCCACAGTATTGCAGGGTTACTGAAATATCAGAATGAACAAGTCCCTAGAAAAGACTTAGTTCAGCACAAGCCATGTTTACAGTGAGCACCCAGTAGAGATTCTACCTTTTCTTTTGTTCTAACCCAGTCAGGAGGCAGGGAGGCACAGAAGCTACTGGATTCAGTGAGAGGTATGGTCCAGGCTGTGTGCCTGAAGTGGGGGTGGGGGCAAATGTGGGGAGACCAGGAGACGGGAAATAGAGGCATGGTTTTTCTGCAGGCTTTAGGGTCCTTGGATGCCCCCCCCCCCTTCCCTCATAGGGGAACTGGGTGCTGGTGGGAACAAAGGAGGAAGGCAAGGGGAGATTATCTTCAGAAGTAGGGATGGAGCTCCCACTTTGAAGCGTCTCCCTTGTGCCTTCCCTCCTCCTCTGGGAGCAGAGATTTTCCCAGCCCAGAAAGACAGTGTGGGAAGGGGTCCCAGCCACTCTGCAGATCTAGAGGAGGGATTCCTAGCTCATGACTGCATCCCTGTTGTGCTTATGGGTACATTTGTGTGTGTGCGTGCATGTGCGTGAGTGTGTGTACCCACATCCATGCTGCACCCTTAGGAAAGGACAAGGCTGGCAGAGGGACATGAGTGGGGTAGACTCATCTCCCTCTGCCCTCTCTCTCCAGTTATGCTAGGTAAGGAGTCTATTCTTAGCTCTGCCACTGACCCTAGACATGACCTTGGGCTAGACCCTTAACTTGCTCTGGGGCTCTCCTCCCATCCAGAGGAGAGAAGATGCCCTGCTGACCACTTTCTGGGCTTGCCTTGGGGTCCAAAGGGGAAGGAGAAAAAACGGAGTGAAAGGGGTCTGCGCCGTGACCTCTGAGAACCCTCATGCCATTCTCCACTAGGTCCCTCAGACCTCCCTGCCTCAATTCCCATGCCCGCCTCCGCAACCCAGTGATTTTTCCATTCTTGCACAGAATGAGAGACCTCAGCACTTACTTAATCCTCTCCGGGGCGCCGAGCTCAGTCAGAGAGGATAGGGGTGGTGGCGGCGGGCGGGAGACCGGGCGAGGGGAACATCTAGGCCCTGCGTGGGGGCGACAGTTCGACCCGAGGTCGGCGCTCCCTGCACGCTCAGAGCTGCGGGCCAGGCCGGGTATCTTGCACGGTGGGCAGCTGCAAGCACCAGCTCTGTCAGTCTAGGCTGGGGTGGGCAGGGCCGGGACCCAGGGCGGGGGTGGGGCCAGGCCAAGCAGCCTCAGGGGATCAGCGAAGCTTCAGTGCCTAGCCTTCCGGCCCTCTCCGCGCCCCCGGACTTTGATTGGCTGCCAGGCCTAGAGCCCGTCCAGCATTGGCCTGCTCGCCTGTCTCTCCGATGTGACTCCTCCCTAAAGCGGGAGCCGGGAGCCCGGAGCCAGGTAGCAATTCTCTGAGACCACCCCTCACTCTGGTGGCCTACACCGACATCCGGCAGGGGACCAAGGGTGACCAGGCCTTTCCTGGGCCACAACTCGGGCTCCTGGGCAGCTCCACCTTCACCGGGACACACTCGGGCCCCAAAACGCAGACATACGGAGGAGGCTTAGAGAGAGCACTGGAGTTGGAGTTCTTTGGGCTTGAGTTAACTCTAACAGGACCCTTTGCCGTGTGACCTTGAGCAAGCTGCCTCCCCTCCCTGTGTCTCGGCTTCCTACTCAGACCGGGGCTCTCGAGTGAGGACTCTGGTTAAATGACTCCAACCACCGGCGGGTGGAATTTTTATCTGGGTGGTATTTATTGGGTACCCCAACGCAGGCTAGTCTACCTATATCTCACAATACCTGAAATCTACAGCATGATCACTGCAAGAAGCCCTTAGACATCCTCCAGTGCAATGGCTTTCAAAGGAGTTTACAGGGGGGGAGGCTGGAGCTGTGGCTCAGTGGCAGAGCGCTTACCTAGCATGTGTGAGGCACTGGGTTCGATCCTCAGCCCCACATATAACTAAATAAATAATAAAAAGGTCTATATCAACAACCAAAAAAATATATTTTTTTAAAAGGAGTTTATGGGGATCACGGGGTAGCTAGGTACAAACGCAGATGCCTGTGGCTCCTGGGGAGCCACGTGTTTAATAGTAGAGTGTTAATAGTGATCTAATTAGTATATTCTGGTAGGAGGTGTATTTCGTGAGACACTGCCATGAATTTTATAGAAAGAGCAACTGAGATCCAGAGAGGTCTAGGCGTCTGCCCCAAGCTTCATGACGAGTTGCTAATAGAATTAGAATTCGAACCCAGTTCTCCGGAGTTCTGCTTTTTCAGCTCCCTGCTCCAAATCCTATTAGCGAGAGAGAAGGTCAGGAGTGACCCTGGGGTCCGGTCACTACTGAATCTCACCCCGGGTCATCACCCTCAGCCAGGTCCGGAATACTGGGTTCCTCTCCCCCAAATTGGGATCCGTTGGGAATACTGGAACCCACTATTCTACACTGAATACACAGTGAACCACACCTTGTCTCCGCCCACAGAGTATGTGAGACCACGCCCCTTGACATCGGGCCCGCGCTGGAACCTCAGTTAGTTGCTGACGACCCGCTCCGGCCTGCTCCTCGCCAGCCAGGTCCCTAAACGCCTGCTCCAGCCTTTCACGGTAGGCTGGATCCACATCCTTGCCGTGACCTTAAGGAATACCTGCCAGTCTGGGCCGCTAGGGTGCACCCCACACACGTCCCCGGACTTTCCCGCCCATGGAGCCTTGGGCGTGGAGTTCACAGTATGCGGAGGAACTCAGAGACGTTAGGAACGCTGAAGCTGAATGACAAAGTCTGCCCGAGCCTTTTTTTGCCTGCGCGGACCCGGAAGCTGGGTATCCGAAGGAACACACTGAAGGCTACGCACGTCCGGAAACCGATACCGAGTGGTTTTCCCCAGGCCGGTGGGTGGGTAGGCGAGCAGCCCCGAGTGGGTGGAACAGCCCCTCTGGCAGGTGTGCACTATAGGTGGGGACCATGGTGTGTGCGCCTGGATTGCAACACCCTTGAGACCTGACCAGCTCCACCCGACTTAGTGCAGATGGAGAAGCAGACTTGTAGAGAGGCGGCCTTTTCGGGGTCATTGATAATGCCCATGCGGAGTTGGGAAGCAGGCTGTGCCCCATACTTAAATCTTTGGTTACTCCAAGGGCAGCGCACAGGTGGAGAGTTGCCTCTAGTGCGGCAGACCCGGATTCATGTCCTGCTCGGGACAGTTCCTAGCTGGGTGACGTTGGGAAGGTTGCTTCCCTTCCTGGATCCTGCTTATCTTTGAGGATGTAGCAATTAGAAGGTGCTCGGTAAAAGCAAGTTTGGACCTTAGTCTGTCTGAAAGTAAAGGGACCGCTGATTTAAGCCCTCAGTTAAACTTGTTTGTGAACATTTAAATATAAACTTTTCAGTTTTTTTAGCTGGCCATTTATGCTAACATCTGGGATTATGGGTTAAATTAGAGGGAAACTTTCGGCTCAATGACAGGAAGTGCCAAATGTCACAAGCAAATCTCCTAAACCAGGCAGTCTCCCACTTATAACATTAGTTAAAGCTTGTAACATGGAGCCCTTGCTGTGTGATAAGCTGGTGCAGGTTCTTGACATTCATGGACGAATGCACTTCTCACTGTGGGGTTATTTCTCCCATTTTATGGATGAGGAAACTGAAAATCAGAAATAATGACTTGCCCAAGGTCACACATGCTAGGAGAAGACACAGATCTGTCCTACCTCCAAACCCATGTTGTGACCCACCACTAGCCTATTTATTAGCAGGGACAGCTACTGGTTCAGCCCACTTCACCTGAAAATGTGAAGAGAACAACTGTCTAAGACAAGAATAGTCTAATAGGTAGGTAAGAGTCAAAATGGAGTTAAGGCAGAGTAAGAGCATGCCCCTTTTCAGGCAACTTTTGATTCTCCTGTCTTTTCCCCCTAAGGTGGTACCCACATCTGAGGACCAGAACCATTTTGGGGAGCCAAAGCCAGTGACTTCTCTACTTCCCTCTCCTAGCACCTACCTCACCTGACATTTCAAGGAAGACTTGGAAACTGGGAGCACTCCAGGCAGCTTTTCCCTAAGCCATGAAGCTTTGGGCCCAAATGCTATGGGCCCTCCTTTCTGGCCCTGGGAGAAGGAGGGGAGGCATCCGAGGCTTGGCATTCAGCTCCTGGCAGTCCCACCCACCTCTGGCTGAGCTGTTGAGTCCCACAGGGTTGGTCAGCCACTGGACAAGGGTCTTTGAAAAGAGAGGCATTCCAGAAGCCAGAGAATCCAGTGAGTACATCGTGGCCCATGTCCTCGGAGCCAAAACAGTTAAGTACAGTATTGTCAGGAGGGCAGGAAGAGGGATGAAGGAGGGCTCTATGGAAGAGACATTGGGCTTTTTTCTTTACCATGAGATTTAGCTAAAGCTGATGGGATTTTTCTTTTCAATTTTCTTTCATTGTAGATGAATACAGTACCTATATTTTATTTATTTATTCATTCATTTATTTTATTTGTTTATGTTTATATGGTGCTGAGGATCAAACCCAGTGCCTCACATGAACTTGGGTTGTAGCTCTACCACTGAGCTACAACCCAAGTTCCTGATGGGATTTTTCTGAATAAATGTCTTAGGCAGATACTTATTTATTTATCCAACAAACTGTTAAAACATGCACCTGGCACTAGTAATTTGGGGGTGACTAAGGTGACCAGCACTGGACACACAGGCGTTGTCCACATAACCTGGATTTGGGCCCCTAGATCAGGAAAGCCAGCTACTCACATTCTCTGTTAGTACAGTTTCAGAGCCTGAAGCCAGTACTTTGGACACAGCCCCTGACTCCTCAGCAACTGCAGTGTATCCAGGTTCTGTGTAGCCGCCGATTGCAGAGGTGGGTGCCCAAGGGTGAGACCTGAGGACTCTATATGGGTAGCAAGGGTCCAGCCTCCCCTAGCCCCACCAAGTTCGTGGTTAGGGAAGAAGAAAGCATCAAAGAACTAGGCAGGTATTGGGATGATGAAGTAGCAAGAGGGAGCCATGTAGTAAATAGGAAGAAGGAAGAGAGGACAGGTCTAGGCTAGGTATCCCAGGGCACTGGGTTATGGCTCTGCCTGACAGCTTTGACTACAAGTGATATTTATTCTTCAACACAAACATGGTCCTATTTGTCTTGGCTCTGGTGCTGACCACCTAATTTCCCCCTCTGTAGGGTACCTGTGCAGTACATCCTTGGGGAGTGGGACTTTCGGGGGCTTAGTCTGAAGATGTTGCCCCCAGTGTTCATTCCTCGGCCAGAAACAGAGGTGAGTGAGTGTCCTTCCAGGACAGGATAGAATACGGATGACTAGGGTTCATAGTATTTGTCTTGCCCAAGATGTCCTCCAGGGGGTGCTGGTGTCCCATGACAGCCATTCTCAGGGGCAGTGCTCTTCTAGACATGGGTCTCCTTGCTGGCTGTGTTGGCCAAACCAAGAAGATAGAGGACTCCTGTTGATCCCCTTGACTCTTGACATTCCAAGCCATCACCCCAGGTCCCAGAGCTGGCTGCATCCCAGAGTGCTCCAAGTAGTGCTGTTCAAGTGCTTGCCTGTTTCTGTAGGAGCTATCTTATGGGCCCATGGACACCTAACCCATGGGAATCAAATGCCCTCTAGCAGTTTCCTAGGTGGCATGGGGGAGGTAGAGAGGGTTCTAGCTGGATGCTCATAGGAAGGTCTCTGCCCCCTCTGGGCACAGATAATAAGATTGGGCCTTCTGACCAGTGGATCTGTGGCTTGGAGGACCTCTTGGGTCCACTGCCTTGATAGGTAATCACCTATATCCATTCTTCAAATTACTCAAACTGGGAATGTGTGCTACAGACAAGCTGTCCCTTGGTAAGGTACTCTGATCCTGGGAGAGATGGTTTCTGTGATCCTTCTTGGACATCTCTGTTACTTTGTGAATGGCAGAGTAGGTAGTCTGAGAGAGTAGATACAGGGTGGAACAGGCCTGGGTGGGGCCTAGTGGGCAAGCCAGAGGATACCAAATTCTTCTAAGGTTGTTTCTATAAAAGTATCTAGTCACAAACATTCCTGGGAAAGGTCAGGACCCTTTCACTTGCCCTAGATAGAGTCCCAGAGTAAACCCTCCCGCCTCCCCACTCTCGAAGCCTCTGTCTCCCAGTCAAAGAAAGCTTTATCCCTCACCTCCACATCATATGGTTTGGAGACAGGATCCTTGCCTTACTTCCCAGTGTCAGGGAAGAGGCAGTAGGAAATCTGAGGCCTTGATGGAGTCATATGGCTTTTAAAGGAGGGGGGTATGGGGATAGTTCTAAGACTTCTTGACTCTTTACATAGGTGTATTCCATCTAGGATTGGCATGACCCAAGGTGGGTTGCAGAGACCTGGAGCAGGATGTAGCCTATCACCTGCAGGCTTTTGGCTTCCCCAGACATGTAGCTTCTGGCTAGGAGGTTACTTGCCATCCCCTGAAGCTGCTAAGGGTCAGAGAGTGGGAGTGTATCTATCATGGTAACCTTTGAGTCCCCTCAGAATTGACCTGACACCAGCCACAGTTCTGGAATTTGAGTGTTGAGTGTGAACTTCTAGCTTCTATTTGGTCCCCCTTTCTTGGTTGAGTGTGGACCAGGAGCACAGCTTTACTACAAGAGGTGGGGAAGAAGAGAGATGCTGTGGTTGGAAGGCCAGGTCCTCGTCTCGTTGTAGACATTTCTGAGAATTCACCAGGTTTGCCCCATGTGAAGCCACACTGGGGCGGGGTGCCTTACCAAGAACTCAAGAGGACGTGGCCTGTGGCAGGGCATGGGGAAAATGGGTGCAGGGGAGGGATCATGGTGTCTGTATTCTTTCCATCCATTGAAGGGTGGTTTCTGATGATGGATGATGAAGTCTGAAAAGCAAGATTGCAAGTGCCTTGTGGCCTAATGAGTTGGGTTTTCCCTGGGGGCGATAAGGTAGCTGAGTTTCCCATGTGGCAGTATGTACAGTAGGAAACCCAAGGCTGGGGTATGAGCCATCTGGCCTTGCCTGATGTGGTGAGGCAGTTTGGGGTGTGGGAGGCTCAGTGCTTTTTCTATGATTGGTTTTGGGGGGCAATGCCTCCTTCCTGGGGCTCTCCCACTAGAGATATGATCCTAATGGAGGGTCCTCAGGTCCTGCCAAATTCTTAGGCCAACCTACACATGTGAATGCAGTGGTTCCAGGCAGAGTCAACAACAGCCTGCTTCTTGCCTCCTTCCTATATGTCTCTATCCCTCTATCTCACCATATTCTTGAATTCTTCCCATGTTCACCTGGAGGAGATATCCTAGGGCTGTGACCAGCTCATCTTTCAGCCTCCCCCAAAGAAGGTCTATACTTTGGGGGAAGAAGAAGTTTCTAGATTTCCTGCTGGTTCCTTGGACACTTGGCTTCTCTCTGTGCCCCTCCAGATGGCCCTATAACCAAAATGAGGTTCCTATGGTCTAGAGTGGAAAGGAGAGCAACAGGCCACTAGTGGCCAGTCTGTCAGCCTTGCACCCTACCCCGTTCACATAGGTGTCTGAGGTTGTGGGTCTTATAGATAGCTGGTCAGTGTGGCTAGATGAGGGGTCATCCATCAGCCACAGTGGGCTGTCTGTGGTCAGCAAACCAAAAGAGGCTCAGGCCCCTCACAGATCTCCATCACCCTGCCAGCCTTTCGGCATGTGGCCTCACCACAGTCTCTCAACCACAGCCCTGGACTGCACACTCTATACCAGTTGAAGCCTATGTACTCAGCTTGCTAAGAGCACTGCAGTGGTCCCTAGCCATGCCTAGCACAGGACCAGTGAATGGAAAACTTCCTGTTGGAGCTGAGCTCTCTAAGCTGTAGGCAATGGCTTTTTTTTTTTTTAATTACAGAAGGAACTCAGAACAGGGATGGCTGGACCCACTGCCAACTTCTGCCTACTTTAAACTTGTTATTTTTGGAATGGATAAGTTTTGCTACTGAGGTATCTCAGTAGCAAAAATAAAAAAATAAAAAAGTATCTCATCCAGGAAGGATGAGATACTTTTTGGGACTCAGCATGACCAACTTATAAGGCTAATGAGTGATCTGGAGCTTTTTGTTCCTTTGGACCTAAATGATCACATTGGGGGTTTAGGAGGACCTGGGGGTATAAGACTTGGAGGGTGGCTTCCCCAGGCCAAGGAAAGCTTATCTAGCACTTGGAAAGCAGCCAGGGGACACCACTGCAGGCCAAGCCCTGCCAGTATGGATCAAACTCCAGGTCTTCCCATCATGGAGTCTGGTGAAAGACACAAACCCCATTCTTGACCTTAGATGAGGATGGGGAAAGTTAGGGTGGAAAGAACCTGGCTAGGAGCTGAGAAAGCTTTCTGGAGAAATTTGGCTTCTCTTCTGAAGAAAGAAGCACCCACATGCTTGTCCCTTCTCTCTTTCCTCCAGTTTCCTGAGCCAGTCTTGCCTGGGAGCTGAAATCCCAGGAGTCCTAAGTCTCTTGTGGGCTCTTCTGCCCACATTTAAAGGGGTGCCTTTGAGTAGGAGCTACACAGTCCTTTCTTTGCTCTATGCCTGGCTATGCAGGACCCCCACTGTTGATTGGAAATGTTTCAGCCATAGGACAGCAACGGCTGTCTACCTCTTGCCCCATCCTATGTCAGCTTGCATACACTGTCTCTTCAGGCAGCAGATGGTGAGTTGAGACTTGAAACCTTCTTTTTTCATAAGTGATTATATCTTAAAGTGTCCTCCTACTGCTAAGGTGGGTACAGTAAAGTCAGTCACCTCCTCCCACACACATACCCTTTATCCCACGCTCTTTGTATACCACAACTCCCTTCAGATATGTCCTTACTCTACAGAGGGAATTTCCTTTTGATCTTTGGTGTAGAGCCTCCCTAGGGGCCTCCCAGAAGCTGGGGACACCCCAGCCCCTGATTCTCTTTCTCTTTCTTTCCCTTTCTTTCTTACTTGCTTGCTTGTACTTGAACCCAGGGCATTTTGCATGTTAGGCAAATGCTCTACCACTGAGCTGCATCCTCTGCCTCTTGATCTTGATTGCTATGAGCCACAGGTCGTGCTCCAGGAGAAGTTTTCACCCTTGGGCTTCAGTTTCCTTGTGGGCCAGTTGTGAGGATCTAACAGATTAATACAGGGAAAGCTTTGGGAGCAGGGCCAGGCACAGAGGGAGTGGCCAGGAGGCATCAGGCATGGATCTTTGCATTTCTGTGATCACAAAATGGGAGGATGTCTGGAAAGTGCTTTGCTGAGGTTTATTGTGCACTTCCTGTGTGTGCAGGATCAATGTTTCATGAACATGACTCGGTTTAATCCTTACCACAGTCCCATGAAGAGGGTTATCCTCTACTATGCTGAATTTTACAGATGGGGGAGGGTTACCCAACAGTCACATACACCCTGGCCATTACAGACCAGTCCTGGCTGAGGATAGCCAAGTTGCTATTGTCTCAGTAACTGACCTGAGGCATGAAGATGCTGGGTGACCTACCCATGCCCCCAGCTGACATAAAGTTCAATCTGACTTTGCTCAGTCCTCTTTCTATATTCACACAGGCACTAACTGCTTGGGTGTCTTTGCCAAGTTGGCAGGTTGGCACCAACGCTGATCCAGGCCCCTCTGCCTCACAGGAACTTGTTGAATGGGTACTGGAGGAGGTGGCCCAGAGGCCCAATGTGGTAGAAGCCCAAGGTGGTCCCCTCATTCTGGAGGTGGGCTGTGGATCAGGAGCCATCTCCCTCAGCCTACTGAGCCAACTCCCTCAGGTAAGCCCTCTCTACATCCCTTGCCTTACTCTGGTCAGACTGGGAGTGATACGCACTGTCCCTCCCTTTGGTCCTTCCCACATCTCTTTGCTAGAAGCACGTGAGGGAAAGGATAGGATTGTTTCCAGCCCAGCATGGTCACAGCCTCTAACTCTCATCCCCATCTGTTTGGGTAGATCCTGGCCAGAGAGGAAAAAGCTGTTAAGTATTTCCCTTCTCTTCTGGTGGGGGATGCTGGTGATTGGACCTGGCATCTCCCAACACTCTGTCTCCCATCATTTGTTCTTGGGGCAGAGCCAAGTCATTGCTGTGGATAAAGAGGAAGCTGCCATCAATCTGACCTATGAGAATGCTCAGAGGTAAGTAGGCTGGGACAGCCAGAGGGTCAGCATAGGGGAGTTGGATTTTGGGGCATGAACTTGACTCTTATTCAAATATCAACCCACTGAAGTCTGATGTCTGCTCCCAAGGAAGGAGATGCAATACGGGTGGCCTGGCATGGGTCCCACAGGGTGTGAATGGATGCTGAACACTGAATATTTGCTGGTTCATGAAAGGTTCACTATCCCTTCTGATCCTTGTAGCCAAGGGTTGGGATCTGCCACCTGTACTCACCCCACCTTCCCATCTCTTCAGGCTTCGGTTGCAGGACAGGATTCAGATCATCCCCTTTGATGTGACCTCAGGTACTCTCTCCCACCCATCTTCCTTGGAGTGGGGATCCTGAATACAGGGGATTCTGGGTGGATGAGGCACTCTATTGGGGGAGGGTTACCCAACAGTCACATATACCCTGGCCATTACAGACCAGTCCTTGCTGAGGATATCCAAGTTGCTATTTTCTCAGTAATTGACCTGACCCATGAGAGGACCTTCTTCCTCCCCCATAACTAATGATTTGAACTAGGGCTTACTTGTTGACAAGCAATAAGTAAGATCAAACAAAAGCCTTTAGGGCCAAAATATGTAAGTGCCCTCCCCACCTCTGGCCTGGGAAGAAGTGGCCCAGCACTGTATAGCACAGCCTCAGCTTTTACATAGTGTCCTCGGGTTTCCAATTCCAATTCTGGTTCCATTGCATTACCATGGAGTCTCTGAGCCTCATGTGGAGCGTCATACACTTGGTATAGTAGCTGTCAAAGGGTGGGTCAAAGAAACAGAGCCATCAGAAGTTGCTGACTCTCTAGGTACTTTCAGACCATATTGGCTGTAAGGCAGTGTGGCAAGACCAGTAGGGCTGCAGAAGACAGAGGCTTTTGCTTTGCCTAGGTAATCAGAGAGGTGGCACTTGAAATGAATCTTGGTTAATAAGGTTTTGGCAGGAAGGAGAAAGAGGTAGGACATCCTGAGTGAAAAGCTTCATGTCAGCATGTCCATTCCTGACTGAGCTGCTCTTTAGGGACTCTGGACCCAAATCAGCAAATCTAGCTTATCAGGTCTAGAGGAAAATATGGCTTGGAAAGAGGCACATGGTGGCAGGTAGAGTTAATACCTTTATCTGTCAGTGGAAAGTTCATGTTGTATGTTTCCTTCTTTGACCATAGTGGGGAGCTGGACACACCTTTTGCCCTGGGGCCCCATGGACCTGATTGTCAGCAACCCTCCCTATATCTTCCACCACAACATGGAGCAGCTGGCCCCAGAGATCCGAAGGTGCTGGGGAGTGGGTGGAATGAGAGGGCAAGCCCTGAGAAAGCCTAGTAGAATTGGTCCTCCCCGGATGACCACACCATCTATAGGGGTAAGGTGAGAGCTGAAAGGAGCAGTGGTTTTGAGAGGTACATTTACAGCCCACAGGCACACCTTGCTTCAACTTCCACCTTCCCACTTGACTCCTGGGTGCCCTTTAACTTCCCTTAGCCTCAGTTTCCTACTTATGCAGGGGTAGTGACTATGGTTTGCAGGGCCATGGGGAGGACTCAGTGACAACTCTAAAGCACTGGACACAGTGAGGGCTCATAGAAGGTTCTCAGTAGATGTCTATGTCATTTTACAGAAGAATGAGGCCCAGAGAGGGAAGATGCCTTGTCTAAGGGCCTCTGTGGGCTTAGTGGGAAGGCTGGGTCTAAAACCCTCCTTCAGGCTTTGTACCAAGCCATCCTATTTTCGCATGAGCTGAGAACCAGGGGTAGCCAAGGACCTCCTAGGTGGGTCAATGACAATAGGGGTTGGGTTGCTCGCTCCTCCTTTCTAGGCTCTCAAGGGTGGTTAAGGATAGCCCTAGACCTTCCCACTAGGAGCAGGAATAGCCCTGTGGTAGGGAGACCCGCACACCTTGGGGCCTGTCTATCAGTGGAATTCAGCAAGGATGCCTGGCATTGCTTGTTGGGACTGCTGCCCACAGGAGTAGGGAAGTAAAAGCTGCCATCCCTTTGAGTACCACTTTCTCTAGGTCTTCACACTTGCCTCTCAGCCCAGAATGTAAGTGCCACTGGGCCTTTTTGTGGAGGCCCTTCCTATTTCCTTATCATTTTTCAGACACACTCCCCCACCAGGGTTTCACTTGCCACTGTTTTCCCATCTAGCTATGAAGACCCAGTGGCCCTGGATGGTGGGGAAGAAGGCATGGACATCATTACCCATATCCTGACCCTGGCACCCCAATTCCTGAAGGACTCTGGGTATGGATGGGATAGGTGTTCTAGGTCTATCCACAGTAGCCTCTTCCACTCCCAATGTGTGCTGGGCATGCCCTGGAAGTCATTCTTCCCCCACCTCTCTCAGCCCAGACAACCCCAAACTGAAAATCCCAGTTGAACCAATGTATTTCCCTTTCATGTAGAAGTATCTTTTTGGAAGTAGAACCGAGGCACCCAGAGCTCGTCAGCAACTGGCTTCAGAGTCATCCTGACCTGTGCCTCAATCTTGTGGCTGTACGTAGGGACTTCTGTGGGAGGTAAGCTCTACCCCTCATTTCCCCAAGTGCACTATTTCCACCCTCTGTGCATTTGTTCCCTAGAGCGCAGGCAGTAACCAGTTTCTTGCCACTGTCTCCTCAGGCCCCGGTTCCTGCATGTCCAGAGGTCTGGGCCATAGTGTGTCTATCATGTGGATGCTTGGCTAGGGCCCCAGCCTGACTGAATGCCTGGCTGACCATTTCTTCTTGGAATGCTGCTAAGAGGGAGATGAATGGTGCTTTCCAGAAACCCAGGTGCTTGAAGCATTTCCCATTGTTCTGTGATTCCCCATGTTTTACGTTTCTAGAAAACTTGGAAACAAGGATGAGGATGTGCTTCCTGAACAGCTAAGGGCAGGGACATCTAATTTGGCTCAGAAGCTGGGCAGACCCTAGTTCCGAATTAGCTCCATCAAATCAGAGTGGTCAAGGGCAGGTTGCTCTGTGTTTCTGTTAGTGGAATTGCTGTGGAGATATTGGGAAGTAAAGTACTGAGACTGGCAAATGGTGACCCAGTGTTTTTGTTGTGATTTATGGGGCCCTGTCCTCTTTTTTTTCGGCGGACACAACATCTTTGTTTGTATGTGGTGCTGAGGATTGAACCCGGGCCGCATGCATGCCAGGCGAGCGCGCTACCACTTAAGCCACATCCCCAGGCCCCGGGCCCTGTCTTCTTAACCCCAGGTAGTGATAGGGATGAGAGCTTCCTCCTGTCCCAACAAGGCTGGCTATCAGTCCCTTGCCTGGTGGGTGGGTGGGACATAGTATGAGGAAGCATAGAGGCACACACTCTTAACCTTGGATACCATAGGGCCCTGCACTCCTCAGATGGACTTAGTCCTCCACTGCCCTGAGTGCATGCACACATACTTTTCTAACTGGGCCTAGCCTCTGAGCATAGGAACCTCATCAGAACTTCAACTGAGGGTTGCCTGCTTACTCCCTGGAAGGGATGGGGCTAGGGGTCTTTGACACTCAATTCTGGGTCACACACCAACATTCATTTAACTGAAGGTTTGAGCCAGTGAAGGTGATCAGGGTTTTTGTTTATTTTTATTTCCATAGCTTTTAGCTGAATATCCTTTCCAAGTTTCTCTGGATGGGGCTGGAAGAATGAGAAGCTAAGACAGTACGTACCAAGTTATGGCCTCCACCCAGCTCCTTCCTTAAGCTAGTCTGGTAGATTCATGGCAACCAGGAGGACCAAAGACCAGCACTCCTGTCAACAGTAATAGGAAACTTCTGGTTGGCAAATGTCGATTTGAAACTGTATCAGAGTGAGTACCAAGGAGACCCAGCAGGCTCATTCTGCCAGACCTCTCCCCCATGCCCTGGTACTTTCATGGGCCTGACCTGAAGTGCTTTAGCCAGAGGCAGGTGGTCTGGTGGGCAGTATCTTCTGTTGGAGTCAGTAGTGCTGAATTCTAGGACTGGGTCTTGCATTTACCAATGCAGGCTTCTTTCCTCTGTGAATCTGGCTCTTCTAAGCCCAAGGGCAATGCAAAGCAGAAGCCTCACTTTACTCTTGGTCAGCCAAGTAGAGCTTTCATGCCCACTATCCAGATGGTATCATAGGAGGTAGCCAAGTGGAAACAAGAACTTAGGTTCCAGCCTTAAGGTAGTCTATATTCCTGGAGTCATACCAGGCCTGGATGATACCCAATGCTATGGTGAGGTGAGGGGAGGGGAGTTCACCTTGTAGAGGCCATGCTGCAGGTCCCAGAGCCCTGGTGTTCTGTCCCAACCTTGAACTTTTCCACATAGCTGCTATATAAGGAACCTGGGAGGGCAAGGCTCCTTATTTCCTGAGCGAGCCCCCATGCCTTCCAAAGTCCCCCCCCCCTTTTTTTTCTCTTTCCCTTTCTTTCCACTGTCTGTGCTCTTTGGCTCTTCAGAAGCATTTCAGGGCGGCCGCCATAACCTCCTAGCTGTCTGGTACACCCTTGTTCCTCCAGCTTGGGATACACCTCTACCAATGCTGGCCTCCTTGACAGTCTCACCCTGCTGTCCTCAGGCCCATGACTAAGGAAGGGCCTTGGCAAACATGTAGGTATGGCACCCAAGAGAGTGTAATGATGGAGAATGACAGTGAAGGGGCAGCTGGGGTCATTGGAGCAGGAACCACCCTGGGGACAACTTCCTTCCTAGAAAAATATGGGGCTTGACTCCACTGGGAAAAAGGTCTAAGCCAAGTGAATTGGCAAAGCAGTGCCTTAAGCCTGTACCCACAACTTGATTGGGTCCTGGATGTGGAGCTGTGATGTGGAAGATCTATCAGCCTGGATTCACATTCTGTAGTCTGCCCCTCACCAGGATGAGACCTTGGGCAGATGACTTCACCTTTTCAGCCTTGGCTTCCAGGCCCAGCAATATGGGACCAGAGTGCTTTATTTTATAGGATATTTGTGAGGGGGCCCATGAACTGCATTTTTCTTGCAGGTGTTTTGATCGTCTGCAAACAAGAGAACAGACCGGAATGCCCTCCTGCATCACATGCTCAGCACTGATGTAAGGCAGGCATAGACAGTAATAGGAAACTTCTGGTAGGCAAATGTCGATTTGAAACTGGACCAGAGTGGTTACCAAGACAGTCTGGAAAGGAGGGACATCAGGGATTTCAGTCCTGTATTCATAACTTCTCTCTGCCCTCTGGAGATGGAACCACTGAGAGGCTGGCAGCCTACATCTCCCTTTAGCCCCTCCTCACCAGGGCCAGAGTGTCCTAAGGCCTAGGCCAGGGCAGCTAGTGGCTTCACTTAGGGCAAACCAGGCTCACCAGCCCTGTCCCCCACCCCCACCCACCCCGCCCTTAGTCCTGAGGCTAGAGCCAGAGACTTTAGCCATGTTTTCTGGTACATGTCAAAGAAGACCTTGAGGCCAGAACATGTGGAGCGGATGGTACAGTCCAGGCTCTGCAAGCTCCTGAGGTCTTGAGGGATGTCCCTATTGCTCACCCAGCCTCCTTAAACATGAGCCCAGAACCTGGGTAGCAGGTATAGGAGTCCTTCTTCAAGGTACTCTGAGAAAGAATTCCACTTGTTCCTCTGACAACTGCGGTCTTGTCTCACAGTTTGGTGCTTCCCTAAGCCATCCTTGGTTTTCTTCATGGAGCTTATTGAAATGTGCTGCTTTATTGAAATGTGCTACCAAACCCCTAACTGCAAGAAATATACCCTTTCCTACCCCCTGACTCCCATTTGAACCCTGGTCCATCACTTGCTCCCAATCTCTGTCCTAAATCCTTGGCTGACTCCCTATGACCTAGGTAGGGATGGTGTCTGTGCAGAATCCAGGTCTGAAGAGGTCAGGGAGGATGGCTGTGGGAAAGGCCCTGGGAATCCCTTCCTGGCCCCATTAGTGCTGAGTAAGTGAACAAAGGGTTTGACTCTTGACAGGTTTGAGAACTGCTGGCTTAAGGTGGGAACCCATTTAACTTCTACAGACCTGCATGCCTTTTCTTTTCCCATCTGCCTTTAGATTATTTTTTCTGCTGCCCTGGACTTCGGCCTTCTTGTATTACCCTCCACCCTCTAAACACACCTTCCCTTTGTCCTGTCAGTGCTTCCATCGGAGTGCTGTTGCTCACCACTCACCCTCCAAGCTCCAACACAAATGCTGCCTCCTTTGGGACACCTGCCCTGACCTCTGTGTTCTCCCCACCTGCCCCTAACCTATATCTTTGCTGGTGCCAATGACATTCTGTCCCATACATTTGGAAACCTGCCTGTCTTGCTTATCTCCCTGGGGCCCCCTGTGAGTCTGGCATACTCAAGTTCATTAAATGTCCACAGTGCCTACATTTTCTAGGATAGGGCTAGAACTTCTCATTTGGCCCACATCTGACCTGATGGCAACTCTCATGAATTTCAGTCAGCAGAGAGGAAGCCGTGAGGGCCTGGCTTCCTGCCTGAGTCAGGCAGCTGTTCAGGTTGAGCCATGGCTGCTTTGAGGGCTCAAGTGCACCTGATCCCTGCATGACAGTCACGCCAGGAGAACAGGCTGTCCTTGGCGGCAGCAGGGTCAGGCACCAAGTTTCCTGGAGGGTGGTAGCTAGGACAGTGGCCTGATCCTCCTTTAAGACTCTTCTGCCAAGGATAAGAGTCCTATACTGTACTGAGACTGGCAAAGCAACCCTGTCCTCCTCTCAGAATAATAGCCTCCAAAGATGCCCATGTCCTAATCTTCCAAAGCTGGAACTGTTACCTTATGTGGCAAAAGGAACTTTGCAGGTATAATTAAGGATGGAAATATTGTCCTGGATTGTAATTAAACTCAGTTTAATCATAAGGGTCTTCTTTATATGAAGGAGGCAGGAATATTTACTGGAGAAGTTGTGACAATGAAAATAGAGGTCAAGGTGATGCAATTGCTAGAGGAAGGGGCCATGAGCCAAGGAATGCAGACAGCCTGACCTCCCCTAGAGCCCCAGGAAAAAATGCAGTCCTGTGATACCTTGATTTTAAGCCCAGTGAAACTGAATTTGGACTTTTAACCTCTAGAAATGTAAGGCGATAATTATGGAGGTTTTTTTTCTTTTGTTGTTGTTGCTGTTGTTTTCTTTTGTAGTGTTGGAGACTGAATTCAGAGTTATTCTACCACTGAACTACATCCTCAACCCTTTTCAAACATTATTTTAGGGCTGGGTTGTGGCTCAGTGGTAGAGTGCTCGCCTAGCATGTGTGAGGCCCTGGGTTCCATCCTCAGCACCACATAAAAATAAAACGAAGATGGGGGCTGGGGATGTGGCTCAAGCGGTAGCGCGCTCGCCTGGCATGCGTGCGGCCTGAGTTCGATCCTCAGCACCGCATGCAAACAAAGATGTTGTGTCCGCCGAAAACTAAAATATAAATATTAAAAAAAATTCTCTCTCTCTCTTTAAAAAATAAAAATAAATAAAATGAAGATATTGCTATTTTAAAAATAAATAAATAAATATTTTTTTAAAATTATTTTAAATTTTGAAACAGGGTCTCACTTGGTTGCCCAGGCTGGCCTTAAACTTGTGATCCTCCTACCTCAGCTTCCCAAGTAGTTGGGTTTACAAATGTGTGCCACTGTACTTGGTGTTGTTTTAAGTCACGAAGTTTATGGGAATTTGTTGCAGCAGCCATAAGAAACATACAGATTTTGGTGTCTAAAGCAGAGTACTGCTGTAATAAACACTTCAAAATGTAAGTGGTTTTGGAATTGGAATTTGGAAAGGGGCAGAGGCTGGAAGATTTGGGGAAGCATGAGGCATTGCCTTGAACACCTCTCCTTTGAAAGGCAGTCTGGCCAGGGTGGAGGAACCCTTCTCAAACTGCCATCCTGAACTTCTCAAGGCCCTACCCCCATGTCTTAGCATGTTTGGAGAGAATTGGCCCTTTCTCAGAGTGAAAGGACTAGAAGATTGACCAGGGTGGGCCCCAGAGGGGCTGGCCTGTCACTGGGAGCGGTGAGGAATGGGATTTGGACCAGTGAGAGGGTGTAAGGCTGGCCTCCTTGGCCCATCTCCAGTAGCACAGGTGTTACCCAGCCCTTCAGAGAGGACCTTGGAGATTGGATCCAAGCCTGGTCCTGGTACTTCATGGAGTTGTGTGACTAGCCCAGCACCCTTTGAGTATGAGCAGGGTTCACACCTTGTATTGCAGGTGCCATACTTGGGAAACGAGCATAGCAAAGGCTTGGGCAGGACTGTGTCACTATTATGTCTCTGAAATGGAATCAGATCATCCCTGGAGTTCTCAGCTTCCTGATCTCCAAAGCTGAGGTGGTCTACTGTGCCTTTGACCCTGTCTCTTTCCTGACTAAACAAATGACCCGAGTGAGTCCTCCATGCCAGTGGTGGAAGGCTAAACCCCTCACAGCTACCAGGTACTACTTAGCTCCAACCAAAGGCTTGGGCAGGACTGTGTCACTATTCAGATCATCCCTGGGGTTCTCAGCTGAGGTGGGTCTACTGTGCCTTTGACCCTGCCTCTTTCCAGGCTGAGGCTGAGTCCCCACTTTGGATGAAGGATACTAAAGGGCTTTGGAGACATCATCCTCTCTGGCCAAGGCCTGGGGCTCCTGAAGCCACAGTTCCAACCTGGGGCCATAGGTAGAACTACTGGGATGGTAAACATGGACTGATATGCTTCTTTAAGAGAAACTCAAAGACAGTCTAGGGCTGGGGTTGTAGCTTAGTGGTAAAGCACTTGCTTAGCATGTATGAGGCACTGGGTTTGATCCTCAGCATCATATTACAAAATAAATAAAGGCATGCTGTCCATATACAACTATTAAAAAAAATTTTAAAAAGACAGTCTAGACACCTGGAATTAAGAGCCAGCTTGGCTCCAAGTCTCTTGAATGTGCTTTGGATGAATCCAAGAGGACCAGTTTGTATTGGAAGGGGTAGATTATAATAGGACACATCTCTAATCTCTGTTTATCCTTCTTCCCAAACAGAGGGAATGGTTTTACTAGTATACTTGCCTCCTGACTCCTGGTACAGTGTTCTCAGCCCCCATTGTTTCTAAGATCCTATGGCCAATGAATTAAATAGTGCTCCTATGTCTTTTCATATAACTCCTAAACCCACAGATTCTGGCCCATATAATCCTCTTGGCCATGTTATGGGCTGATGTCAGCTATATTAGCTCAATTGTAGCCCCTAGGTCACATCTGAAACCCTGGCAGCTGTGAAAAGAGGAGGATTCTCCCACACATATTGAGTGGGCAACTCTCCTCTGAGGGCACTAGCTCTACACTTCTCAGTCCTGGGGCCCTCCTGAGGTTTTTAGAAGGAGTTTTGGCCTCATAACCAGGAATCAGATATGTAAGAGCTTCAAATTCTAGGTATCCCTTCTCTTCCAGATATCTCCCCAACAGTCCTAAAGGGAAGTGGTTAGAAAAGGTGAATTTTACAATTCACAAAGTGGGCAAGGCAGCAGGGAGCCTTGGGCTCAGCTGAGACAGTTAGGCTAGCCCTGCCCCATGGGAAGAAGGCCTGATCAGATGGCCCCTTTCCTAGGGGCTGGGGTCTCCCCCAGGGATTCTGCCTTTGAGAGCAGGGGATACTATCTTATTACCCACCACTCTACCAGTTCTGAATTCTTCTTCTGGGGCATGTGTCTGGGTAATGCAGAGGTCGGATGTCCTATCCTCTGAACCTAGGGAGCACATAGATTGTTGGGGCTTGAAGCACCTACAGAGATCCTGATACTACAGATGAGGAAATTAAGGCTCAGCAAGGCAGGGACAGTTCTGGGGCTCAAGCCCAGGTTTCTTTTGGGGTTCCCAGTCAACAGCCATCCCTCCATCATCTGAAGATCCCTTTCCTGCCTTGCTTTCTAGGAACAGTCTTACCTGCCAAAAGCCAGAAGAGTCCCTCTGCCCTTCCTGGAAGTCAGTATGAGGCTGAGCTCCATGAAGCACAGAACAAACCCTGAACTAGCACTGCCTAAGCATTGCTTGGCCTCAGACCCTGCAGTTGGAGGAAGGACCCAGGCAGCCCCCTAGCTGCCTCCACCTCCTTGCCTCTGAATTCCTTCTAGGCACTGGGCCCCAAGTAGCTGCTTTGAATTCATTAGCTTTAAGTCTCACGAATCCTTTAGACACGGGTTTTTAATCATCCCTGTGTTGCAGTTGAGGACACCATTAAGGCTCAGTGTATGATCATGGGTTAGGTTGCATAGCCAGAATAAAAGGGAGGATGATGCTTTCATTGGTGCTAATATGACTATCAGAGACAAGAAGACTGACACTGGTAGGTCCTGCAGGGTTTAGTACTAGGGTCCAGGGGCCTGTGGCCCCCCTGGAGCAGGAATAGGGAATGCCAGCAGAAATAGGGTTAGGGTTAGGGTGGGTTAGGGTTAGAATTAGGGTTAGAACCCAGCAGAAGCCTAATAGGTTCCTCTCCTGAGATACATGCAGCATAGGGCCAGGACTTTTGTCTCCTAAGCCCTACTATGTGCTAGACTCCAGGGAGATAATACCATGTAGAAGGACTGTAAAATATGGAATTCTACTGGTGTATCCTGAGCCATGATTGTTCGGGATTATCTTAACCCTCATGAAATCCCATAAGATGGAGGCTGTGAACCCTCTCATTTGACAGACAAAGAAATTGAAGATGAGAATGCTAAAGAATTACTTACATGCTGGCTGAGCTGGGATTGTGACGCATGCTGCGATCCTGGGTCTGAGACTTTGGTCACACTAGGCTTGAGGTAGGGAGGACATAGGACAAGGATCTACCAGGCAGAAGAGACAGTCTGAGCAAAAGCCTGGAGGATTGAAGGCACATCAGGATTGAATGGGGCAAGGTGGTGGGGTTGGATCTCTTGGTTGAGCCCTGAATGCATTTCTGAGGATCACAGAGCCTAAAAGCAAGGTTTTCTTTTCTTTCTTTTTTTAATATTTTTGTAGTGGTAGATGAACACAACACCTTTATTTTATTTACTTATTTTTAATGTGGTGCTGAGGATTGAACCCTGTGCTTCACACATGCTGGGCAAGTGCTCTACCACTGAGCCAAAACCTCAACCCTAAAAACAAGGCTTTTGAGCTGAGTTACAGGATCAGCTAGGCATGCTGTCTCCCTCAGCCATGAAGAGGAATCTGGGGCAGGAGACTACAACCGTCTAGGATCTGGAGGTGGCTAGGGGTGATAGTGGTGGCATCAGGAATTCTGGAAAACCACTGGGGGTTGGATGTGGGGTAAGGGGTAGCCAGGACCACAGTAGGGCCTAGGGCTCTTACTGGGACCTGGGAGTACTCTGAGCTGGAGACTGGGGTGTTGGGGACAGTGAACATGAGAGTATAGTATGCCCTCAGAACATCCCAGAGGCAGTATTGGGCATTTGTAGATCTAGATGTGACCGTGTGGGATCATAGCCCAAAGGCAGCCCTTTAAGTAGATTTGGGAAGACCATCCTCCCACACCTAAGTGCTGGCAACAACAATAACAGTGCATCTGCCATGTATAAGCAATGCCAGATTCCACAAACCTGTTGACACAAATCCTCCCATTAGAGATGCCTTCTTTGACTCACTATAGAGACACAGAGTGAGGTTTAACTTGTCCAAGATCACACAGCCAACAAGTGGCCATGCTGGGATTTAAACCTAATCTTCCAACATCTGAACAGAAGGGGAGTGAGCAGGTCACAAAGGTCACCTGCAGCCCTGGACCTTGACTCTCAGAGGGGCCTGTCAACTGTTTAGGGTGCCCCAGGGATGACTAGGGCTTCCAGGACAAAGAGAAAAATGGCAAACCAAAAAGTAGGCACCAGACATGAGAGAAGCTTCCTCCCAGCCACCCCTGGGTGCCTAGCTTTCATATCCCACAACAGAGGGGCCAGACAACAAGCTCTGGGTGTGGGGAGGAGAGGACAGCAAAGGTGGCTGTTACTTTGAAATGAGACTCTGTGTACATTGGAAGTGGGCTGGGACACACACATACACGCACACGCACACAGATTCTCAACTAGCAGGTAAGTAAAGGAGGCAAATCCACATCTCAGTTTTGTGGGTATTAAATCTGCCATGTTGGGGGAACATTTCAGGTCCCTAGGCCTGGGAGATTCAGAGAGGAGGCACTGGTTGGATGTGTCTAAAACTCCTTCTTGCAAGTACTCATAGTTCAAGAACTGACTATAGCTTCCCGCTTTCTCTGTGTGCACTGAAATCCACAGTCTCTTCCTCATTCTGCCCAGCCCTCCTGCCTCAGCCCCCTAGAGCTATGGAGCTTGTTCTTTCAAACTAAGTTTCATGGGGAACTCAAATAGGTGTTTTAAAACAGATAAAAGCAGCATCTTAATAGCATTTTACAAGTTGAAATTTTTTATTCGCATAAAGCCCATCAAGGCAAATAGCAATGAACACAAATGCTTGAACTGGGGGTTGGGACAGGAGTTGCAATCTTACATTAGCCTAAGCATCCAGCTTCTTTCAATGTTTGAAGGACCAAGGGACCCAACTCACAGATAAATAGTTACAAACAGTAGCAGTGCTCCTGCAACCCATCAGGCAGTTTCTTTGACAAGAACAGTAGAAGGAGTCTTATTTCAGGCTCAGCACAGATTCTTTTTTTTTCTTAATTTTTTAAAATGTTTTTTAAACTTGGTTATAGACCTTTATTTATTTATTTATTTATATGTGGTGCTGAGAATCGAACCCAGTACCTCATACATGCCAGGCAAATACGTTAC